GGGGCAGGGGGGAGGGCGGCTCCGCCGCGCCGCCCGTATTGTGTTCCCCGAGGCGCCCTCGCTGCCCGCCAACCTGTTCAGACCGGTTGGGAAGCGCTGCGGCCTGCGGAGCGAGGGCTCTTTCTCGGAAGTTCTTTAGCCCGAAGTTTTGTTTGTCGCTTTTGCGCCACGGGTGATGTTTTCGTTATTTCTCGGACAGAATTTTCGCCTCGTCTGGTAATAACCCGTCGCGGTTTTGGCAGTGTTTGAAGACCCAGTGTAGTGGGGACTACTAAGGTTTGAAATAGTTTCAGTGCTCAGGCCCTCTGAGATACCGCAGTGTTCCGTGAGGAATGGGTAGAAAAGGAAAAACCCCTTTTAGAAAGAAGTTTATGATGTTTGAAGGGCAGGGTTTGTTTGGTTGGTTTTTTCAACCAATTAAGGAAATGTAAAAGGTTTGCCGTTGAAAGATGAGCAAAATTCTCCTTGAAGATATTAAAAATTAAAATTTTTGTGAGCACAACTGTTTCTAGTAGCAGCCTCCTATTTATTTATTTATTTCGTGTCATTTTAATATGTCTTGTCTGAATAGCTTGAAATCGTTTAGAAGACCTGGAATAAATGAAGGATGACCGATTTTTTTTTTCTTAACTCACATTACCTTTTGTTTAGATTGCAGCAAAAATTGGAGGAGATGCTGGCACATCAATGAATTCAAACGACTACGGTTATGGAGGACAAAAAAGGCCTCTTGAGGATGGAGGTATGCACTCGTTACTGCTGCATTTATTTTTGTTGAGTGTGGCAGTGGTGCCAGAAAGATTGCAGGTGGTTTTTTTGTTTGTGGGTTGTTTCCCCCCGCCCGCCCCATACTACAGCATAAAAATATTTTGTTCCCTTTATAGATCATGACATCTTTTCATTTTCAGTTTAGTGGGGAAACTTGTTCTAAACCATTGTGCTCTAACCTGAAGTGATTGTAAGGCTGTTTTGAAATATTTTAAATGTGGTTTAAATGCTGTAAGGAGGAAAATGTATGTCAGGAAGGGAGGCAGATTAATTCATGGTTGAGAAACGTTTACGCAGGTATGTCATTTAAGTCTTTTGTTGTGTAGGACTGACTACAGTTTGTAAATTACAATTAGAGTAGGAAGTGCTTGCTCCTTAAGTTTGATTGTTTCATATATTTTATAACTTCAAGGTTTCAAATAAAAGTATTAACGCATTTCATTGTAAAAGCATAGGACTTTAGAAAGAGACAGGAAAGTAAATTTTCTACCTTGTACACACTTTGCTTAGTTTACTATTTAAGCCTATAGCATGTGTGAACCCTGATAAGATCGTATTTGAATCCTCTAACTTGTTGCAGCTTTTTGGATTTGCCTTATACTGCAGTAAAGTTTTCTCCTGAAATGTGTGTGTGTTGTCTTCTGTCTCTTACTAAGCAGCCAGTTTGAACTTAAAGAGGGTCTGATATGTTCAATATACACACAGAATCCTGGCTAAATTGTGGAAAATCTCTGAACTTGTTGCAATGTTCTCATAGGTCTCACAAGAGCAATGCCTTTTTTTCCTTTAAGAGGATTGAAACTCAATCTACAGAATGTAACTAGGGCTTTATATCAGGAGTTCTTGTGTCCTGTAATAAAGTATTTTTTTTTCTATTAACAGTGAGGTTTTTAATATACAAAAATGAGCTAATGATGCTTCAGATGATATATGTAATGTATTCTTTTTATTTTATGTGTAGATGGCTCTTGGACAAGTCCGAGCAGTACAACACACTGGGAGGGAATGCCCTCTCCTTTTAAAGGCAGGAATTTTTATTTATTACCTGTGTTTAGTATGTAAACATGACATAAACTAGTGGATCTTTCTGGATTGACACAAATATTTCTTGGAATATGTGTCTGAGTTTTTGCTGCACATAAATTATGTTGGTTCATATAACCTTTATTTTGGGGTGGGAAGGAAGCATCTGAAGTCTATCTTTTCAGATATAGGTTAATTATGCCTTTTATTCCTTTACTGTACAGAAAGGATTTGGATGGTAGTGATGTAGTTGCTTTGAATCTGCACAAAGGCAGAAAGAATAAAGTAATCTCCTTTTTTTTTTTTTTTTTTTTTTTTTTAAGTTTTATGCTGTGAAATGCTTGATATTTGGATAGGAATTTCATATCGACATTCAGATTGAGATTGCATTGCCATGTGACACTGTTGTATTTTCAGATGTTTGATCTAGATTTGTGGTCATTGTCAGAATTTTTTTTTCTTTAAATCGTTGATTTTTGTATGGATTTGATTTTTTTTTTCTTTTTTATTATAGAAGCATCATTAGCTTGAGCAACCAACAGACCTAAACTTTGTTCCTTGTCTTAGTTAAGTTTCAGTGACTGGGTATCTATGAGCAAACTACAGTGTGTTCTGAAAACTGCCTTTTGTTAAACTACTGGATAGATAATACGGAAAAACCTAACATCTTTTCAGCTATACTAACCAATTGCTGAGTGTTTGTGAGATTCTTTCTTTTATTCAGATGATCAACTCCCTGAAATTGGAGGAAAAAAAAAAGAAAGAAAGGAAAAAAAAAAAAGGAAAGGGTTACTAAAATACACTGGAAAGTTACAATTCACACTAAAAGGTGTAAACACTTCTTGAATTTCTTGTCAAAAAAAATTAAAAAGATCTTAATTTTGCAGATCAACCAGATGCTAAGAAAGTTGCTCCTCAGAATGACGGTAAGTAATTTTTATTTTGTTGAAAAAAAACAAAAACAAAAACAAAAACAAACCCTAGACAAGTGTAACATTGTCAGAACAAGAATTTGAAACAGTGTTCTGGTAGGTGATCAGTAAGGTATTTTCTTGAAGCAGTGTGAGTCTGCTTTGTAAAGCTGCTGGTGTTGTTAGCAACAGCTGAGAATCTTTTTAGCTGTTTTTAAACCTCTTCATAACACTTCTTAAAAAGTCAGCTTGGACAAAAGTTGATGCCATTAAGTTTTATTATCAAAGGAGAAGCTTAATTGTGAATTATACTACTTGTTTGAATTTAATTTTAACGATATTTGTTTATAGCTTTTGGAAATCAGCTACCACCGATGCATCAACAACAAAGGTAAGAGTTTTACACTAGATCTTATGTAGAGTTTTCATTTTTACTGAAAGAAAGTAATTCCAAGAATTTTTTCTGAAAGAGTGGTATCAATGCATAAAGCAATTACTCTGTATTTATGTGATCTGTTGAAATTTAGCTTCAGCAAGTCCCAAGCCAAATACTTAAAATGCATCTGCATTGGTGTCTCTCTCTCTCTCTTTGTAGCCTGGGCTGTGCATCAGGCTTAGTAAATGGAAAATGCATTTCTGATATTTACTACTTGAGCCATAGGTAGCATAACCAGAAGTTGGAAGCAGGTCTGAAAGGTTGACACTATCTTGTAAACAAAAAGGAAAGCTAATGGATTAAAAAATAAAAACCAAAACCCACCAGATTTAACACAGCATTTTGCTCAGTCAGCCACATTTGCTAAAACTTAGTTTTCTTCACTCATTTCTCCACTAAACAATCACATACAACTATTATCCTTATGCTTTGACTGATTTTGGTAGAAGAGACGCTGAAATTTGTGTATTTTCAGCATGCTTCGATGAATATATAGATGAAACTGAAAATGCTGCACTGGCCTTTTCTGTACCACAGATCTGTTAATAATAAAGAGGATGAAGGAAAAAATAGATTGATTCATATTATACTTGAACTTATTGTTAATTTACTTAGTACTGTGCTTGCATGGTAAATTTTAACCTTAATGGGAGGTAAGTAAGCCAGGGTGATAGTGGGGGGCGCTGGCTTTCTTTAGTTTAATGGGAGGATATATAAATTTAATGCCAGTTTGGTCTCTGAATGATCATTGTCTTTTGTATGATTTAACATTCTCTGTAGGTCTGTGATGACAGAGGAGTACAAAGTTCCAGATGGGATGGTTGGATTCAGTAAGTAGTATGCCTGTGGTGGTGTAGGAGAGTGAGGGATGTTAGCAGATGCTGCTAATATAAATAATCTTTCTGTGTTTTCTTTCTCCCAAGTAATTGGCAGAGGTGGAGAGCAGATCTCGCGTATACAGCAGGAGTCTGGCTGTAAAATACAGATTGCCCCTGGTAACTATTTGGGTTTTTTTTTCTTTGTTTATTTTGGTGAGGGGTTTTGTAGAAGGTTCAGAAGGCTTTCAGAATCATTGCTTCTCGTTGCCCAAAACTTCATTTAAAGTATATTTTAATTTTTTATGCTAACCGCGATTGTCACTATCTAAAGAAATTCCAAATGTTGTGTTCCAAACTTCTGTGAAGTTCCAGTAGTTTGTATATTATGTTTAATTTCATACTCTCTGACTTAATGCTGCTGCTAAATTGATTTTATTTTATGACCGTAGATAGTGGAGGCCTGCCTGAAAGATCATGTATGCTAACTGGAACACCAGAGTCTGTTCAGTAAGTAAAACAAATTCTGTGTGTTCATATTTTACTGTGCAATACACTCCATCTTTTAGATCTAAATATAATATCTAGATAGCATGTTTCTAATATTATGGTTTTTCTCAGTTGAAGAGGCAGTCTGGTGACAATTAAATGAGTACATAAGACAAAAGAACCTGCAGTCAGATCCCTCAACATACATGAAATTTCAAGATAAAAATATGGAACTTCAACTTTTTCAAGTCTAGATCTTGTTGTAGATAATGCTTATCTAACCATGCACTGATTTCAGCTTGAGAATGAAATGTGGAAATGTATATGACAAAGAAATGTGTGCTACAAATAAGTTCTTTATTAACCATAAATTGGAAGATCACAGGGCAAATGGAGAAAATCCATGATGTGAAAGTAGGAGTTACTCGAAGCCCAGCCCATCAGAGTTCTTAAATGTCTTTTGTATAAAATAGTGTATGCTAAAAATTACGACAGTGATGTCTATGTAAGACCTATCAGCAAAGTTAACTTTTGCCTTTCCCTGTTCAGGGAGGAGGATAATAGCAATGAAACTTTTTTTTTTTTTACTGGCACAGAGGTTATTTAACCACTTGAAGACTGACTTATCCTGGCTTTGCAGGGAAAGATACTGAGTGTAGTAGCGTATTTGGTATTTCCTCATTCATGTTAGCTGCTCCCGCTTAATGTTTGTGGGTAAGGCCTGCAGCTACATGTTTTCCTTTGGGAAAGTAGCATGGTGTTCTCCTCTTATGTTGCAGCCAAGCAAGCTGCTGTTAATTACATCATTCCTTTATGTGAATTTTCTTTCTAGTTATGGTTTATTCTGCTCACCTATTAGAAGGAAGAGTTTTTAACGAATGTTAGTACTGTAATAATTATGCTACTGTGATGCATGGTGAATATTTACTTGCTTTTGTCCACTGTTCTGGTGATGGTTACAAGCTCAAATGTCCTTATTTTGTATGCTGAATCAAGCAGCAGCTATCACAGTACTTGGTGTTAAAGTTAGGTTTATTTTATAGTCTGGTTTTTTTGCCTTTTATAAAAACTTAACATAAAATAGCTCTGCCTTAAGATTGATTGTTAGTAGATGAAAGAAATATTACTGTCAAATGAGGTGTTACCTGAATTACTACTGAAATCAAGCAGAGTTAGAAAAAGATTTCTACCTGGTGATTTTTTTTTTAATGCACTAAAGTTAAATTGTAACAATTTCAAATCTTCTGATTAACATGGATTTTTTTAAAAAATATATTTTAAGGGACAAAGTTTCCATCTTTTATTCTGAATTAAGGTTTGATCAATTTAACTATTCAGGGATGATGGTCATGTTTGAGGAGGTAACTTTTATTTTCATGTGTTTGATGAAGAACCATCTTTTATATTTGGACATTGGGGTGGTTTTAGGTCTATCACATTATCTTGCAATTAGTTTCTTAAATTACTGTTACAGATTACTGAGTTTGATTGTATTTCTTCTGCAGAAACTTTTCAAATTAGAAAAATAAAAATTTCCAGAATAGGTGTGGGCAAGTAATGCTTGTAGGAATAAGTGTATTTATAAATGTATATATTCCTTCACAGATCAGCAAAAAGATTACTTGATCAGATAGTTGAAAAGGGAAGACCTGCACCTGGCTTTCATCATGGTGATGGACCTGGAAATGCAGTCCAAGAAATCATGATTCCAGCAAGTAAAGCAGGATTAGTTATTGGAAAAGGTGGAGAGACAATTAAACAGTTACAGGTATATATGTGTCTTCTATACATGTGATAATAGTGAATCTGGGTTTGAGTGGGTCTTGACCTCTGTTTTGTCAAATAGGAGCGGGCAGGTGTCAAAATGGTCATGATTCAAGATGGTCCACAGAACACTGGTGCAGACAAGCCCCTTAGGATAACTGGAGACCCTTATAAAGTTCAAGTAAGCAGTGTTTTAGAATTGAGAGCATTTTAAAATCCTTTCTGATGCTGCAGTTCCTAAATGAACTTTCATTTTTCTTTTAGCAAGCCAAGGAAATGGTGCTGGAGTTAATTCGTGATCAAGGTGGCTTTAGAGAGGTGCGCAACGAATATGGGTCACGAATAGGAGGAAATGAAGGGATAGACGTAAGCATGGTTGAAAAACTTGTTCACTGTATTTTAAGATGTTAACGTTAAAATGTTAATCTGGGTAATACCACTGAAAACTTTTAAATAGATTCCAAAAGTGGTTTTGGCATGTAAGTATTTCTTGATCGTTGCTGAAATTGTGACTTTATATGTTGTGTGGCATTCATTTTACGTTACCAGCTGTTCTGAACAGTTTCAGCTAGCTGGAGCTTTTTATCAAATAAGCAAATAAGTTTTATGGCTAAGAATATAATGTCATTATAGAAAATGGAGTTTGGCCTTTATAGAAGAATATTTAAGTCCACCTATAGTGCAAGTCATGAATTCATAACTGTTCATCACATGTATGGCTGAAAGTTTCATCTGCTAGAATCTGCATTTTAGGCCTGTTAGAACTTTTGTTCTTTGACTGTGAGAAGCATAATATCCACTGGAACTGCTGCCACTATAACTTGTAGCACATAGGTTCTCTTCCTTTTTGATGCTGCCATTCAGTATTTGCTAGGTTTGTGACTTGATATTAAAAAATTCATGATTCAGAAAGCCTTAAATGGCATAGAGCTGGCCCTAGTTTACCATTCTCATATGTGACCTTCTAACTGTGTGAATTTGGTAGGAATATTTGCATCATTGACATCTTTACTCTTTTTTTTTTCTCGTTAAGGTTCCAATACCACGATTTGCTGTAGGTATTGTGATAGGAAGAAATGGAGAGATGATAAAAAAGATACAGAATGATGCTGGTGTTAGGATCCAGTTTAAGCCAGGTTGGTAATATGTCCATAAATTTCTGTGAATGGAGTGTAAATTTACTGTATCACATATACTGAAATAGTTTGGTTTTATTCCAGATGATGGAACAACTCCAGATAGAATAGCCCAAATCACAGGGCCTCCTGACAGATGTCAGCATGCTGCAGAGATTATTACAGATCTCCTTCGAAGTGTTCAGGTTGGGTAATATGTTGTTTACCATTTAAAATCTCCGGCCAGAGTTTTGGAAGGACTTAAACTTTTAAAAATGAGTGTGTAACTAAAGAATGTAATTTAATGGTGTCATCTGAATCTACTTCAAAGTTGAGTCTGGAATGAGTGTTTGCTTTGATAGCTACAGTCTTGCAAGTATGAGGATGATAATGATAATACTGATTCAAAAAGTCACAGCAGCTCTTGATCTGTCTGATTTTAGAGCTCCTTCTTCTGTTGGCTTGTCTTAATAGATAATATGCTGTTACTTTTGGTTGTAATTAGTATTTAAAAGACAGTTTAAATGCTTATATTGAGATGAGCCCCACTGCTGCATTTACAGAAGGCAGAAATTATATCTTTGTACATGTGAAACTTTCTGCTTTCTTCTATATCTTTTCCTTCATCTTTCATATGCAGAGTTGTACAGAATATATGTTAAATAGTAATTTAGGTCTTCTGGAAAAGATATTACTTTAACTATTGAAACTATCTGAGTAGTAAATTCTTAACAAATGATGTGATGTAACCAGTTGGCGTTAATAATTTGCTTGGAGGAGTTTTTATAGAACATGGTAATTTGTTGCTTTTTTTTTTTTTTTTTTAGGCTGGTAACCCTGGTGGACCAGGACCTGGTGGTCGAGGCAGGGGTAGAGGCCAAGGCAACTGGAACATGGGGCCTCCCGGTGGCTTACAGGAATTCAATTTTATTGTTCCCACTGGCAAGACTGGATTAATCATTGGCAAAGGCAATATATCTTATATATATCTATATCTCTACATACTTAAAACTCTCAGCTTTTCCATTTGTACCAAGAGCCATACTAGAGAGATGTTTCAAAAGAAGCCTTTGCAAATAGTTTCCTGTACAGCAGAGCAACATAAAACTGCTAAAATCATAACACTCCTAATAGTCTTTTCAGATTTTCCTCACTAATATACATACTCCAGTAGTTCAAAGTCAAGAACCAATTAGTTTATCTAACTCATTTTTTTTAAAGTAGTAACTACTGAGTTACATTGGTAATGTTTGGTAGATGATGTATCTTTCAATTAACTTGCATGTAATACTGCTTGATTAGCCTAGTGTTACTGTGTCTGTAACTTGCTCTTAAATCTAATTCTCACACATTCCAGTGCAGATATTTTACAGTGGAATCCTGCAACAATTTCTTATGTGTATGTTTATTAAAATAATTACTTCTCAAATAGGTTTGTTTTTAATTTATTGTATGCTTCTGAATGAAACACGAGTTATCTTAATCTTTTGTTTGTAATGTGTTTTCCAGACACAACAAATAGGCTGACATAATAGTTCAGTTCTTGACCTGGAAGGTTGATTGATTGTTGTTTTTTTGGGGTTTTTCTAATGCCAAATGATCCCTGTATTGAAAACTTTGTGCCTACTAATGATACAAGTAAACTTCTCAGGATCCTGTAAGAGGAGGAACTAGTTCAGGGAATTTAACTTTCTGGACTTTACCATCTGGTCAGCTTCTGAACATTTTTTGTCATCTGCTCTATAGGGAGGTCAGACTTTAAGGTTGTATTTTCTGGTAATCATGGATATGAGTTGTTATTCATGTCTAATCTTAAATCTTTACATGAATGGAACAAACAGACAACATTTTAGGAATTCTTTACTGTTCTTTCTGAGTAATAGTATCATGGTCTTTAATTTTTTAGAATTAATTTATTTTTACTAGTTTATTGCAGTCAGAGCTCTATATTACACTGAAGAGGCTTTTTTGTTGTTAGAATGTTCTTGTGTGGCTCATAAGAATAGGTGTCTCTTCATTTCTCTAGCTTCCATGCAGTTGACTTTTCTCTGATTTCAGTTTCAGTATTTTTGCTTTAGTGCATGTTGTAAAAGCTGTGTGTTACATTGTAGGTGGTGAAACTATTAAAAGCATAAGCCAGCAGTCTGGTGCTAGAATAGAACTTCAAAGAAATCCTCCACCTAACGCAGATCCAAACATGAAGATGTTTACTATCCGTGGAACACCCCAGCAAATAGATTATGCACGACAGCTTATAGAAGAAAAGATTGGAGTGAGTGTATAACTACGTTTTGATTTACTTTTATAGCTAAACAGAGCAGAAAGCAAGTCTCCTTTGTGGAGACTTTTTCTGTTTCACTTCCAGATAAATTAGATAATAAATTTATAATAATAGATGGTAATGTGGATTTAAAGCAATATAAACATAACTTGATGCACCAAAAGAAGCAAAAACTCAAAATGGAAAGAAACATTTGCTTTCTTCAATGTAATGTAGTGTATTTTTTAATGATGTGTTCTGGAGGATGCCCACTTTGTGCATAGTGAAAAATTTGATGACTTCGAAGGTATCCTTGTTACTGTTAAAGCTACTAACCTGTGTGTGTAGTTTTTCAGTCTCAGTATGTTTAGGTAGAGTTTTCATCCAAGTTTACACTCTTAAGTTCACTGCACTTTTGTTTGCGTGTATATGTACATAATCAAATTTACTGCCCGTTTTTTTCCTGATCTTACAAACAGATTTAATTAGCAAGATTAGCCAGACTTAGATGTATCGATTTATTTTTAAAACACTGATAGTCTTGTTTTAGTTTATGGGTTTTTTAAATCCAACTAGTGGAAAAATCCATGTTTATTTGTAAGATTCTTTATTTTCTCAAGAAAGAACAGAAATAAATGCTGATTTTTAGTTGATGTTACTGCCATGACTGCTTTTAACTCTCTTCTTTAACTAGCCATAAGCCTAATTAATCTTCAAAAAGACTGTTTCCTTCAGGGAAATGTCTTTATTTAAAAACAATCAAACCTTTTAGATTATATTCTTAAAGTGTTCAGATTTACGCTTCAAAACTGCTGAAAAATTGAGGTTTATTTTTATTTGTGTGCTACTCTTCTTACAGGGTCCAGTAAATCCATTGGGTCCACCTGTTCCACATGGACCTCATGGTGTTGTTCCTGGCCCGCACGGACCTCCTGGGCCACCAGGTCCTGGTGCTCCCATGGGACCATATAACCCTGCTCCTTATAATCCAGGGCCTCCTGGCCCTGCACCTCAGTAAGTACTTCAGCTTCAGTTAGCTTCTTTTTTTGTAGGGTGATCCAGGGACTGGCTTTCATTGTATATGTATGACTTGATCTTTTGTAGTGGTCCTCCAGCACCGTATGCCCCACAAGGATGGGGAAATGCCTATCCACACTGGCAGCCACCAAATCCACCAGATCCGGGTAAGGAATGTCACAGTTGTACTGCAGTATGGCTATACTTGGAGTACATCTGTTTTGTCCTTAAAAGTGTCTTCTGTTTCGTGATTCATGTTACACTGGTAAATCTGAAAAAGCTCCTGTTCTTCTGAATCTTCTTCACTGATGTCAGTTTACATTTGTTTTACACTTCCCGCATGTTGCTTCTGAGATGTTGAAGTTCAGTTGTTCCAGTTGGAATATGCTTCTTTACTAAACGTTACTTTTTGCAAGATTGGGTTAACTGATTTTGTGCAAATTGGTTCATTTCTCTTACAATGGATATTTTTATATAAAGTTCTTTAATGAGGATGTGTTTTGTTTCCCTAATAGTCATGACCCTTACAATGTGATCCTGACTTCACACTGTTTATGCTATATTACATATTTCTAACTTTTATTGACCTATATGAGGATGGCTTCTTAGAGTCTAATACAAATGTATTTTGTTCATTCCTTTTTGAGGGATAGAACTTGTGTTAAAATTAGTTAGGATTGTGTATATTGAGCTTTTGCTTATAACAGTTTTGTGTTTTCTTCTGAAACCCATCTTTGTAGAATCTGTTTCTTCTATTTCTGTTTATCTTGTCAAGACTGGGAGTTTTTACTTGATTACAACTTCCCAAAGTTTTAGTATGCTGCTTTTCTTTAAGTTACATCCTTTAGTTGGACTAGAGAATATGGGGAAACGGAACTGCAGTCACAGAAGGCATGGTAAGGCTAAATGCTTGAGTCAATTGTACCTCATTTGTTTGAGGCAGAGCTTCTTTGGAACTTCAGCCAAAAGATCAGAATTTTATTTTTGTTATAAATGGAATAAATATTTTCTTATAGCCACTGGTTCTGACATAAGTTCCATTAGTGAAAAAGGATAGGGCTTTGGAGGATGTTATGATCTACAGAGTTCTATTCATGTTCAAGTCTTTTATATATCCTTTCTTGGCACAGAGCCATCTCTGGTTTCATTTCCCTAACTTTTATAACAGGTATTATCTGTATGCATTCAGTTTAGTATTTTAAAATGCCTATTGTTACTATTTGGAAGTAGAATGATTCAGAGTGACTTGACTTGAAGTCTTAGCATACCAAAAGTGTCATTTAATCCAGAACCACTGCCAAAATGCCTTTTTCATACCAGCTCTTCATTTTTTATTAAGTAATTTCTCTACGTAAAGACCTGTAAGAAAAATGAAAAATATTGACCTTTATGTCATCTTGATCTTGATTCAATAACCTTTTATTTTGATAAATACCCCTCTTAAAAATGTAATTAAGTTTTCCTATATGCAGTTGGAGTTGGTGTTTCTTTTGACTAGTATTTATTTGAGTGAATTCTGTACAATTGTCCACTTAGTTGCTCATTTCAGTGCAACAAATGGGTTATTTTAGTATTTTTTTCAGAAGTGCTCTCTCCAGAACCATGCTTGCCTCTTGCCCTGTGAAAGTGGAGCTAGTTACTACAGTCAGATTTCTTTAATGAATCCTGCTGTGCTCTTCTGTTCTAGAGAAGTAGCTACTAAGGGGAAGGAGGGAGGGAACCCAGCAATGGCTTATTTGATGTTTGCAGGTAACCTTAGAATGTAGTACATATCAGTTTAAATCCACTATTGTTGATAGAAGCAGTGTAATTTAAAAAAGAAACAGCATGTTAACATTGTTTTCTGTATGCTGATGCTACTGTGCATTTTAAGTGTTTACATCTGACTTTGAATGAAATAATGCAAGAAATTTGTTGTGTTGTGGATTTTTTTCTCCCTGAATGCCTTTTCAGGGGATTTCTTCTTTCTCTTCCATTAGTCACTGCCTTAGCTATTTTGTGTTTGGGGGGAAATAGACTTCTATTGCCATGTATAGTTATTCTAAAGTATCAGTTGTGTCAATGTCTTTAGGTGAAGTTCTTTCCTCAGTTGGTTGCATTTGTTAGCAGATACTTCTGTTCTTTAAGGATGCAGATAATGTTAAAGGATGTTGGTGTGTTATAGTGTTATGTTCTCTAATAGTAGATTTGCACTTTTTGTGAATTGCCAATCTAGTAATGTGATCAGTCCCTGTGATTCAGCAAGAATAAGCAATTCCTGAAGGCTATATGTGAAAAACAGAGAAATGAGGCTTTGGGAAGCAGAATTGTTGGCCTGTCTAGATAGTTAAAAATAAGGGAAGCATGGAGATAGCTGCAGAAGATGCAAGTGCTGCTATTATTTGTTTACTAAAAAGCTGTAAGTAAACAGTGATGTGTTATTCAGGTTCTTAAAAATATCATTTGTTTCTGTATTTCACTGTTACCTTAAAGATTAACTGACAGGTATTGCAAGTAACTAGTAAGATTTGTATTCTTCTGTTTCAGAAATACCTATTTGGTAAGCCTCCTCCGCCCCTGCCAGTGTCACTAGTGTGAGGTTATAACGAAAGTAAAACCACTGAAATTGTTTGGTGCTAGAATGATACATTGTTGCTACCGTTTAGTAAACTTGAAAATCTGTTTGTCACATTTAAAAATTAATAAATGACATTGTAGTAGTAAGGGTTCTAGAATGATTTTCTTATCAGCCCTATGAAAGCATACATTGTTCAATACACTTGTCTGAAACTTGATCAAGAGTTTTTGCTGGAAGGAAGAGATATTTACAGGATGTACGTGGTTACTTGGTTTAGATGTATTTTTCATAGGAGGAAAATGAGTACTTAGGACAGGGTTAATTGAGCACAGCATTCTCTTCATACTACTTTTATAAATGCTTATGTTTTTGTTTTCATAGGTAAGCCCGGAACAGATCCCAATTCAGCAGCGTGGGCAGCTTATTATGCTCACTACTATCAGCAGCAAGCACAGCCACCACCTGCAGCCCCTCCTGGTGGACCAGCTACAACCCAAACTAATGGACAAGGTAGCTGTTTAGTAAAATGCATAAATTTCTCATTGCTGGGGGTGTAGATGCCCCCCCCCCTTTTTTTTTTTGTGTCTTCATATATTGGGTAAATTTACTGTAAGGTAGCTGGTTTTCTTGGAAAACTCTTGCTTACAGCCTTCAACATTGCTTTTCTTAATTTCAGCAGTAATAAGGGTAATGTATTTATCTTGTAATACTCACCAAGGAGAATTTTGCTGCAACTTGGGCTGACTTAATTACATCTGTATCATTCAGTCAGTCATAAGTAAAAATGGAATGAGCCAAACTGTTGTTATTTGCTTAAACAATTGCATCACTTTCAGTGTTACAATTGTAGTATTTAGTGGCATTAGTGTAGTTGTTGTGCCTGGATAAGGCTTACCAATTAAATTTTAGATAGTATTTTGTACTGTGGGTGGTGTGCATTTCTTGAATCTTGAAAACATGCTGAACACTTTAAACAATTCTTTTTCTTTGTGGTGTCTCTTACTCATTGTTTGTATTTTTAGCAACTTGTACCACATAAGTTTATAGTGTCAGATTTGGGTGATGTTATTTGGGATTGTTACTGAAAAATTCAGCTCATTACTTGTAAATTGTTCTTGTTCTATGTATGGAACAAAACCCAGTAGGTTTGTTTTTTTTTTTACTATTTTTAATGTAATTCAGGAGATCAGCCAAATCCAGCACCAGCAGGGCAGGTTGACTATACCAAGGCCTGGGAGGAGTACTACAAAAAAATGGGTACGTGTGCAGGTTTTTTCTGTTGTGGCATAATAGAATGTTCTAGATTGTCTATCTCATTTGATTTTTTTTTTTTTTTTTTTTTACCCCCAAAAAGTTAAAAATGCTCAATCCATGTGTCTTCTGAGCAATAAACTGCTAGAGGCTCTGAATCATGCAGAAAGACTTTTAAAATTGTGTTGTGTTTAAGGCATTCACTAGTTTCCTAGTGCTCCTAAGATTATAGTTCATTTTATTTTTTTTTTGTCATTTGCTTTCTGTGTTCCAGGTTATCAAAACATCATAACTAGCTTTCCTTTATATCGTTCCCTTTTTAAAATAGTATTTGCTTTGCAGCACTGAAGAGCTGTGTTTAAACTGCAGGTTTTATGTTGTTGCTAGCTTTTTCAAAATATTTTGCTTGGGCTGACTTACAAAACTGAAATGTATTTGCTTGTTAAGTTGATTATTTCATCATTTACTGAATAGGGACAGAATATGTGGTCTTGATGCATTTGCAGAAGGTGCTGTCTTTTAAATCATGTTAATATCTTGCAGGTCAGTGTTTTGTCCACAGCATCCTCCCGTGGATATTATAGTTAATGTAGATTTGTATGCTGAGGACTAGTGGGCTTATGAAAGCCAGTGCTTTCTCTAGTATCTCTGTTAGACCACACATACAGCAGCATCTGGTTTGGTTTTTTTGTTTTTGTTTGAGTGGGAGGGTTTAAATTTTTTGGCCTCTTCAACTGCATGCTGTTTTCTCATGGAATATTAAAAAGCATTTGAAGTTAAGATTAATAGCATGTTTAATTTCTCTTACCAACCTTCTACCAGGTTGATCTCAAATTATTTGACAAGACATAAAGACCTTTTTTCTTCTTTGGCACAACAGAAGTGATGAAATGAAACAGAAAATATATAATGATGATTTATTTCAAGAATTATGTATCAGACAAGAAGATTGCAGCAGAACTCCCAAACACGTGATTTTTAAGATGTGATGGGCCTTTCCATTTTTCCTCTTCCTGTTTCATTTAACTATTTTTTTCAATTTAATGTGAGCTGGTAGTTCAGTTCACATTCTTCAATGCGAAGTTGTGGGGTTTTTTCACTGCTTGTTTTAAGAATAATATTTGTTTGCAAGGGCTCTGCCATCTTCCTAATTTACTGTCTCTGGAAAACAAGGTCAGGGTTGCACTAGTCTTGCATTTGCTCCAATTAAATAATAGCTAGTTATAAGGTATTGGGATAGAGTTTCTGGGAGCAAGTTGAGAGAGGAATGTGAACCCAAAAAAGGTGAACATTGGGAGATGTAAAGAACTGCTCGTAAAATGCAAAATTAAAAACACCCCAAGACAGCAGTGAAATAAGAGCAAAAACAGAAAGGAAATTCTGATCTTTATTTATTTTTCTAATTCAAATTGTGTTCTTTGCATGAAGGAGATCTCTTTGATTTCTGGACTTGTATAACTTGACTGCTGCTTCTTCAGCATGTTGCAAATCTTGATATGGAAGATACCATTTCTCTTTATGATCCACTTAGAAAAGAGGAAGAACTGACTAAGTGAGGTTGAAGGGCAGAGAATTCACCTAGGGTTGATTTAATGCTAAATGGAGGTGTTTTTCCTCACTTCCTTAACAACAGTGTTAAGTCGTAGAAGATCTGATGAGCAGGAAGCCTGCCCATCAGCAAGTTTGTGTGGTCTCTGGCCTCTCAGATACAGCTACTACTGTTTGTGCTCCCTGCAGTACTGTAATGCTGCTGTCCCCACTAACTTGTGCAAAAGTGGAAGGTAGGAATTACAAGTCACTTACTCTTCAACTCTTCTTTCAGATTTTTCACAGCACAGATAATTACACAAAGAGCTCTTCTGGAGAACTGAACTGAAACTTGGGACTTTGTAAGCCCAAACAGTTTTTTGAGCCGACAACGTGCACTTGCAGCCCAGAAGGCCAACCGTATCCTGGGCTGCATCAAGAGAAGTGTGGCCAGCAGGTCGAGGGAGGTGATTCTCCCCCTCTACTCAGCTCTTGTAAGGCCCCACCTGGAGTACTGCATCCAGTTCTGGAGCCCCCAGCACAAGAGGGACATGGATCTGTTAGAACAGGTCCAGAAGAGGGCCACGAGGATGATCCGAGGGCTGGAACACCTCTCCTATGAAGACAGGCTGAAAGAGCTGGGGCTGTTCAGCCTGGAAAAGAGAAGGCTTAGGGGAGATCTTATAGCGGCCTTCCAGTACCTGAAGGGGGCCTATAAGAAAGCCGGGGAAGAACTTTTCGTTAGGGCAGTTAATGACAGAACTAGGGGGAATGGCTTTAAACTGAAAGAGGGTAGGTTTAGATTAGATATTAGGAAGAAGTTCTTTAGTGTGAGGGTGGTGAGACACTGGAACAGGTTGACCAACGAGGTTGTAGATGCCCCCTCCCTGGAAGTGTTTAAGACCAGGGTGGATGAGGCTTTGAGTAACCTGATCTAGTGTAAGGTGTCCCTGCTCATGGCAGGGGGTTTGGAACTAGATGATCTTTAAGGTCCCTTCCAACCCAAACCATTCTATGATTCTATTTTTGCTGCTGAGAAAACTAATAATCCATGTGGCAAGCTTATAAGGGTGACAGTACTGAGCTGAACAAGTTGGATGTGATACTGCAATTGGTGCTTTGGATTTTCTTATACTTTAAGTGTGAGGGATCTGAAAACTCTAAAACACTCCTGAATATTCCCGTCAAAATCATAATACTGTTTTCCAGAGTAGCTTCTTACTGGTACAGTATGACTTGACTAATCACAGAGAACACTTCTCTCTGTTTTTCAGCATATAGAACAGTGACTTGATAATAACCTGGTTTCCAGCTTACAAATATAGTGGCAAAAGTCCATCTCCTTTTTCAGAGTCTTGTTTGGGTCAGGGACTACTGATTTGAGTAACAAATACAATTAAAAATAAGACTGAAAAGCTAGTAAAATTACTCATGCAGTCTGGTAAGGTACTGTACATGGATCTTGTAGGTGATCCAGACCATCTATTTGATGGTACCCTACTTCATAAATTCAAAATGTTTGTTTTAAATTTTACCAGATAACAAGCCAGAAGTTTAGCTTCTGAAGACATACAGATGCT